AAGTAAATAGGAAAATCAGAAATAAAAAATCAGATTGGTATGGAGGAGGGTCATGCAGATTAATACCTGGTGTGAAGTTGTTTAGAAAGGGTCAAGTTTAGTATCTGGTGTCAATTGTGGAGAGCTGAACAACCTGTCTATACCCTCAAGACAGAAAATGAGCAGGATAGTCTTTTGCTCAAAGCACTTACAGTAGAAAGATGTATTTTGTTTCACTGGAGGCTGAATATATAAGTACAAAGGAAAACAAACCTTGTGTTTTATTTCCTCTCTCCACCATTTGTGTGTCTTTATTGTTCTCCACTGTTAATTCTCTGCACTTACTATTTACTCTCACACACCTTCTATTGAAGGAAAACGGTTGTGCTCCGGTCTTCCAATCCGCCATGGAGAAGGACGGGACACAGAAGAGCCCTGCATCCAGCCACAGTCTCCTTCTTCAAACGAACAGTAAAAGCCAGAGGGAAGATTTTCTGCAAAAGGGAAAAAACACACACACATACAGAAGAACCCAGGTGAGCCGAGGAGGAGACTCCTGAGCACACAGAGAAGCTGCAGTGATTATTCTGACCAGGTTGCTCAGGGCATGTGGGCACCCCACAGCTATTCAGTCCTTTTGTGTGGAGTCATGCATGTGCCTGACCATGGCGAGGGTGGTGTCAAGGGAAACAACCCCCAGACTGTGACTAAGTGACTTCCTCCGCACTTTGATGTGCCTGAGTGAGGACACACTTCAGTGTACACTATGCGGTCTCCAAATAGCTGGCCTCCTCTACAGCTCCATAGGTATAAACCCACTCAGGGTTACACCCTGGAGATGGCTTTCCTAACCACTGCTTTTGCAGACCCATGAAGGGAAATCTTGGAGAGGTATAAATTCCTAACATGATTCTCCTCCCTTGCAGTATAGGTTTCTAATCAGCCCAGCTCAGCAATGTGACCTCTTCTCTCTGTGAGCACTAATGCGGTCTCAGGTAAAGCACTGAATCATCTTGTGCCTCAGTTTTTGCACCTGGGGATCTGTTTCGTGAGATGAATGGATGAAAAGAGGGTAGTTTATTTTAAGCCGTACTTTCAGGCTTTGAAGCCCACTCATTCTGTCACTGGCTTGGGATTTCAGGCAAGTTTCCAGCTCCAAACAATATAAAGATACATTAGCTTTTGCCTTTAAATTAACCAGTTTTAAAGTAATAGTCATCTCATTCAAAGCAGAAGGTAACTTCATGCCTTCTTCATCTCCTTCTCTGCCCACATTGCAAGTTCTTCTCACAAAGGCTGCAAAGCACCGCTTCTCTTGCCCTGAGCCATACAATTATATTGTCACAGGTGAACATCCTCTACCAGCTTAGCCTGTATTTATTTTCTCCTTCCCCGCTCCCCTAAGCTGCCCCTGAAACTATCCTTGTTTTTTCTGTTGTAGGTTGCTTTTTGATTTGGTGGTTTTTTGTTTGGTTGGTGTTTTTTTGAAAGAAAGGAAAATGAAACAAGAAATTTGCTTAAAATTGCAAGTTAAAAAAAAGAAATTCCAAGTGCAAACACATTATAAACCTCCATATCCAGGAAATTAGTTTTTCCTTTCAGCTGCTTGTCAAAATCAGAGTAAAAAGTTCTTCACTGACAAAATGTAGGACAGACTACAAACTCGTAAAGCAAGAGGATGTGTTGGTTATGTGACAGTGTCCATTTCATTAGCTTCTCTGTGAGAAGAGAAGGCTCCTGAACTCAGATTTTGTTGTGATTATTAGGAACTTTTCCCTCTGAAATTTTCTGTCTGTGAAGTGAAGCACCAGTATCCAAACCCCAAATCATTCAAAATGTTTAAATATCAGCAGAACCCTCTGGCTGAGATTGGAGGTCAGCTAAACACCTGCTTGCAGGGCCTCAGCTTTGACTCACACACCTCGAAAGGCGATTCATTATCAGTGGCATATTCACCTACTCCTTGGTCTATCCTGAGAAAACAGCTGGGGAACACAACAACTGCAGTGTCTAGACAACAAATATTTGATTTACTAGGAGTCTGAATCACAACTCATTTCACAGAGGAAACTGAAACAAATCTCATATCTGTAACTTTTTAGTATGGCCAGGCTTGAACCTGGAATCTGACATGGAGTTGAGAGCCATATTTTATTGTTATTTTCCACAAGCACCCAGATTTGTTATGAAGAGATCAAAACCTGTACTGGAGTTAAAGCTTTTTCAAGTTTCCCTTTTAAAAATCTCCAAATTCATTCAGCCTAGTCGTTAAATGTGGAGCTGTTAAGCAGAAAGTTGCTTCCTTGTGTTTTACCCCTCTTCAGAACTTGGTTATATTTCATTGTGCAGCTCGAGGCTGGGATAAAAAAAAAAAAAAAAGACAGATTATAATGTGTCCTGAATTCCTACTGAAACTGCTTGGCTCAGTGTCCAATTGAATTCATTTCATGTCCATACGCTATGTAGGATCATGTAAACAAGTCAGAGCAGCAGGAGGAGTCATCTAAGTAGCAATCCCTGCCTGGAGGCCAGAAAAAGCTCACTGTCAAAGAACAAGTAGAGGCACAAATAAGAAGCAATTACTTTCCCAGAAAATTTCATTCCTCCTCCACAAATTAATTTTTTATGAATTTTCAGATGTCTCGTGCAGTGGATGCATTTTCTCTGCTGCTCTTTCTTGCTTTGAATACCTACGGCACCTACAATCCCACACATTGCTACTCCACGAGCACTTTCCTGTCAACGTGTACTTCTCAATTTGCTGAATGTTTATAATTCAAACTCACATTAGCACAGACAGTGCACTGATGAGGGAAAGGTAATCTGACTTTATTGGAAAATCAAGTAAACGAGGGGACAGAAGTTATAGCCATTGAAACCTGCCATGTTGGATACTATCAGTAGTGAAAGAAACCTCAAAAAAATTAGACCTCAGTAAGATTAAGATGCAGCTTGTGGATACAGGACAGAACAGAGTAATCCAGCAAGATTGGAGTACTGTGAGAATGCAAGAGTCTCTGCTTTTATTTGAATGATGAAGTAGTAAAAAAGCTGTAGGGTATTAAACTTGTTCCTAAACAACTATTTTCAAGCCTTCAGATTGATTTAGATTTTGCTTGAAAGGTAATTAAGTTCAAGGTTTTTTTAACCTTAATGCAGACTTTTCATCCTTTAATAGCAAGAAAAATTAGCAACTGGCATAATTTATGAAGTGGATGGAGCATGCTCTTGATTCAAAACTAGGTGTAAATCAACCAGATACTATAGTTTAATCTTTTGGATGGAATTGCAGACATATATTATAAAAGACACAAGCATAAAAGTCTACTCTTTTACCAAATGTAGGAGGAAATCTCAAAAGGCAAAAAGATCATCTACTCAAAGAAAAAAGCATATGAATCTTAAACATGAGTTTGTTTCAATGGCTGTCTCTACGCTAGCTAAGTTGGTCTGCCAAATTCTACCAGAAGTGAAGCATAAAAAGGGAAAATACTTTTCAACAAAGCCAGTGGTTATCCTGTAATGCCAGAAGGTTTGACTGAGTTCAGAACTACCAGAGGTTAGAATGTGTTGATAAAGGTACAGCTTTTCATAGAATCATAGAATGGTTTGGGTTGGAAGGGACCTTAAAAATCATCCAGTTCCAACCCCCCTGCCATCAGCAGGGACACCGTCCACTAGACCAGGTTGCTCAAAGCCTCATCCAGCCTGGTCTTGAACATTTCCAGGGAGCGGGCACGCACACTTCTTTGGGCAACCAGTTCCAGTGTCTGACCACCCTCACAGTGAATAATTTCTTCCTATTATCTAATCTAAATCCACCCTCTTCCAGTTTAAAGCCATTACCCTTTGTTCTAACACTATGGGGCTTTGTAAAAAGTCCCTCCCCAGCTTCCCTGTAAGTCCCCTTCAGGTACTGGAAGGCAGCTATAAGATCTCCCTGGCACCTTCTCTTTTCCAGGCTGGACAGCCCCAACTCTCTCAGCCTGTCCTCATAGGAGACATGCTCCAGTCCTCTGATCGTCCTTGTGCCCCCCCTCTGGACTTAATCAAGAAAGAAGCAAAAGGATTAGTGTATGCAAGACAGGAACCCTAAGAGAGTACTGCATGGTAACAGGTTGCTACTTCATAATTTCGCTTGCAGGGAGACTCTGCTGGGCTATATCCATCACTAGGACATAAACGAATCCAGTGGTTTCTTAATGTAGTTTTGTCTGGAAAGTAACCTGGCCCCTCTGGAATTCATTATCTATGCTTTTTTGGTCACTTGCTCATGTTATCACAAATTCAAACTTTATAGGTTCCTATTCCAGCTGCCATATGGTCTTTTGACAGATGGGCGCGTGCACTCCTCTAACCACATCGCACAGCCTGAGCCACTCCTTTCATGAACCAGATACTAGTCTTCCTTATCTCACCTGGCAATGTGTTTAATATCTTTAAATATTCAATGAGGCAGAGAGAAAATTACCCTATAACCTAGTGGTTATGAGACTTATTTTAAAGATGGAGGACATTACTTTCAATCCCTATTCCAGGTAAAATTTATCAAATGTGGAAAAGCAACCTCTGTTGAGACTTGAATAACCCTTTTTCTTCTGAACAAGACCAGAACTCCAGACCACCATCTTGGAAATTGTCCATGGAAATAGGAAATAAGGGTTCAAATTCACTTAGGTAGAAGAAAGAATCAGTCCTGGGTTTGTCATATCCTGGGTGAATCCTCTAGGTTCTGGGTCTCTAGATAATAAATTTACTATCAGCATCTACATTCTTTTAAATTTTCTTTAAAAAAAAAAATAAAATCCATTCTTTTCCTAACATGCTTTGACAGATTTACCAATATTTTCCCAGGCTGGTTTTTTTTTTTGGTGAATTTGAGACAGAAAGGAAAATAATTTTGGACTAGCTACAAGTATATGTACTTTTTTTCAGTAAAACTTCTATTTTTGTCCAGACTTGCTGCCGGGCAACAAAAGATTACTGAACCAAAATCCAAGATATTGTTAACTAAAAAAAGAAGTATAAAACTACTGAAAAAAATTTTTCCTTTCTGTAAAGCAGAGCTCTGCCAAGCTATATTAGTAAATAATTTGAGTTTTCATCTCTGGCTTGTACCATACCTGCTATATTATATGATACACTACTACAATATGAGGAAGTATGTTATATTTTTTTTGGCAGGAAGTTACAATCCATAAAAGCATGAATTTACTAGCAAAGACATAAGACCCCCACTATCTGGAGTCTTAATGTGTGTCTACAAAGTGTGCTTCTGCAAAGTATTTTCCAGTGTGGCACTTCCATCAGTCTGTTAAATCTGTATGTCTGATCTCAGATCAACACAGTTTGGCATCTAATTCCACATCTGCCTCTTTGAAGCTGTCTTTTGCTGCTGCAAGAATATTTGATTATGACTCAAACAGCAACACAGTTTTCTCTAGGGGTCATCCCTCTCCGATTTTACACTCTCTACACAGACTAATTGGTTGCATGCAGAAAAAGCACCGTGACATTTTATTGGCCATTAATAAGTAGAGAGATGTTAACAAACAGCTGGCATTAGGGAGATTTTTTTCAGCTCAGAAAGGAACAAAAATCAAATTAATAGGAAGGGAAAAAAAAATCAGTACCTGCACAGCTAAAAGACTGTGAAAGGAAAAAAATCCCAAAGGTTGGAGCTTAAAGATAGAAGCCTTTGGTTAACAGTAATTTTAAAAGCTCTTCCTTCAGTTTTCAGCATGGCTACATCTTCTTCTTATAGTTCTTTTGTGCAAGCAGAAGCATTTGGGAAATCCCTTTCCCTGTTTTATATATCTGAATCATTTTTTGCCACACTTGCAAAAAGCTGATGAAAACATCCGTGTTGCTCAGGAGCAAACTGACAACTGAAATGCTGAAAGATGACATATGTTGTGTGCTGGACTGCCATGTAGACTTAACTGACATGGAAAACATCAGATCATTTCTCTGTTTTGTGTAAGTAGTCTTATGCCAACAATATTCAACACAGTAAAGAGGCAAAAGCAGAGAAATCAGCCATAGAACTGCACGGGCTTGTAAGCGGATAAGCAGACATACCCACAACTCGAGCTCTTGCTAAAGCAAGGCAGTCTTTTTTGTTGCTTGGGTGGAAGATGATGCTTTTCAGGCCTTTTGGCTGGGAGTGAAAACTCTCATTCCCAGTACCTGTGGTTGAAAACAAGCCATGTGGTCTTCTCACGTCAGGGAGTGACACTCTGCTAAACAGGTGGTTAAATATGTTCTGCTTTTTACGTTTTCAGAACATTCTTTGCTGACACAACTGTAGGTACTATATTGCTTTATGCAAATAGCTACAGATGAATGCTGCATGGAGGGGGAAAAGGCAGCCAAACCAAGCCCTGTGGATAGCATATGTGAGAGAGGGATTGGTCACTTTACTGACTGGCTCATCGTGGGACACAGGGTGGCAGCTAGGGGAAAAAGCAGCGCCAGCCTCCCGATATGTGAATATGGACAAGACACCAGCCACAGGTGCACCTAATGTTTGAAAATAACAGGTAAGCATGTTCTTCCAGGCCTGCCCCATCCTATGATGGTATTTAGTTTGCATCCAGGACTGGTACAACTCCACCTTGTGAGCTCTGCTGTTCCAACTGGTATAGACAGGATTACCCTCACAAGGCAGAGTCATTTATAGCAGAAAGACACAACAGTGTGTTGTGGACATATAGTTGATGGTAAATAATAGGTCTCTAATTCCAATGAAAGGAAAATGTATTCAACCTACTGATTATCATAATTTACCAGGTTTTTTTTTTTGTTTGTTTGTTTTTTTAATTAAAGTGTAGAATACAATAGAAAAACCATTATGAAGTTTCAGAGCTCTGTTTTAAAGCTCTAAGGCAAAAAGGTTTCAATACCGTGAATATGAAGCATTATTGGTTCTAAGGAGCTGTAAGTCTGCAGCGATGACACCGTTTCTATGAAACCGAATTTAATGCTCACTATGTGTGTTGTTAACGAACATAATTTCAAACTGTAACAACATCTAACATGATGGAGAAGCATATCATTTTGATCTTTTAACTAGTTTACTAGATGATCCCAGTTCAAACCAATGTTCTCCACTCCAGTAAAATCTGTTACATTATTTCTTTGTTAGCAGCAAAGAACTGGAATTTGCTAAAAGCTGTGTGTCACTCTTATGTTTAGTTTATGCTAGAAACAGCAAAGGTCTGTTAGTCTAGACGTTACCTATACCAACACAGCTTGTTTGAACCACCTTACCCAGATTGTCTCCTGCTCTAGCTGTCACATATGAAAGCTTAACTGAGCACAATGACTTCTTCTATTCCAAAGGCTTTTTCCAGGACTGGTATTTTGGTCAGGGAACACATTTTCTGCATACCAAATCAATACAGTTCTGTTGACAAAAGTCCATAGGCTAGATAAGCTGTGACACAAACACTTTAAATTGGTAAATGATGAACTCTCAATGATTATTTTTCTTTATATATTTGCCCTGTGGATAACCCTAAGGCTGACAAACCACCACTCCTAACTATCTGTACACTGGCAATGTGGAAGATGCTGGAGGTAGAACATGTAGAGGTATAGAAAAAGAGATAAGATATCTTCAAGAAAATTACAGGAAGGTCTTAAGTATCTAGGCTATGCAGCGCAATTACAAAGTATTCAGGCACAGCAAGTTTTCAGAAAACTCAGGCTGCTATCTATCTTCTGCTGTAGTTTATTAGACTACTGATGAGAAGACAGAAAACAAGAGGAATCACAAAGACACAGGAGTTGGTCAAAGACAGCTACTGGCTTTACCCATTTTTCATCTTATAAGTTTTTTTCTTTCCTTTCTCTTCTGCCACATATTGTGATACATTTTGATTAAAAACTCAAACTATACATTTCATAATTCTGTAAGGCAGCTAGCTGTTCAAGCTATACTTCCTCTGCATTTTTGATCAGGACTTTGGTAGAGATGTGAAGCACTAAAAGCATCTTAAGAATCTGCTGCAGAACTAATGCAGGTGAGTACAGGAACATACCAAATGGTCCTCTCCAGGCAGATATCCAGAGAATGCATGTGTTATAGAAGATACTGGTCTTTTGATAGTACTGAATTAGTCTATTAGTGCTAAAATCTCAGGCACTAAAATTCATAACAATCAATGTTTTTGGAAAAGGAGCACGTAGCCTGGGGGTTTAGATTTACTCACTGCACATATCTGCCTCATCTTCTCCCTCAGCACAGTCCCTGATGAAGTCACACGCCTGCCCCAGTCTGATCCCTGTTCCATTCCAGCAGCTGAAGGAACCCTCCAGAGCCATTTTTGAGCCAGAAGTAGATCCTAGAAAAAAAGAAAACAAAAACCATTTGAGATTACTGAATTGCTTCCTCTCAACCAACAGGTCACATGAACCTGGATAACACTGAAAAGGAGAATACCTTGAGAAACCCCCTCAATCCAATAATTACTTGATAAAGGAATTGTTTTATTTAGTTTGACTTGTTTAAACTTGTCAAATATCTAATGGTCCACCTAACAGAGAACTTCAGTTCCCCAGGCATTTCTGGTGTTTTAACTTGGAAAGCATCTTCAACCCTTGAAAAGAGGGTTGAAATCCTGCAGCCTGCTCTGTGGTACTTCTGAAGAACAATACAATACACATGATAGATTTTAAATTATATGTGAATTTACTGCTAGGCTGAAGGTCCTGAAGACTGATATCCTCTCTGTCTAGCTCAGGAATAACATGGCTGCATGGTCTGGAAAGAACACAAGCTTTCATCATACCCTCCTGTCAACATGAATTACCTGTGACTTGGATGTATTACCTTGTCATATTCTCTCAGCAAGAGAGAAAACAGTCTGATCTCTGCTTGCAGTTTTCTTTCACTTCTATACCCACTCCTGCTCCTGCATGCCCCTCCCCTTGAGTCAGGGAGCCCACAGCAGACCACATCTAAGATACAAAAATCACTAATTCATTTTACCTATGCTAAGCAGCAAAAGGCAGCTAGCAAGGTGGAAAGAAGTCAGCTCTTATGAATGAGGTCACTGAACACTGCAATCAGAGGCCAGTATCATCCATTCAGAAATGATCTTGAGTACTTGCCCCTTAGCACCGCTATTTTCAGGAGGCACTTGATTCCCTTGACAGTTGAGAAGTCAGAGATCATCCATTCTGATAGTTATAATTTTCATTACGGTAGGAATTCTCCCATCCTGAGGTCTTTGATTGTAGGCAAGTGGGAGAAGCATATCATTTTGATCTAAAAAAAAGAAAAAAAAAGAAAAAAAAAGAAAAAAGAAAAAAGAAAAAAAGGACTTGCCCCAAGAGAGACATGCTCTATATCAGTCACTTGGAGGAGGCAGGAATTAGTTCAGCAACATCCTAGTCAGTACATACGGAAGAGTCCAAGCTTGAGAAGTGCAAGAGCCCCTTCCACAAAAATCTGGGTGTGGGTGCAATTCCCCAAAACCTTCCTGACTCTCTGCAGAGATGTACTTACAGTTCACTACTCCTGGAAGTATGAAGAGGTCTGTTCTGTGAATTCCCCACTGCAACAACTCCTGCCCTGTCTCATATGAAATGGGTAAATGCTCAAGATTAAACCAAAGCCTCTGGGCAGAGTGAGCCATTGTTTGCCTAACGCATCCATGCTTGCTAAACGACACAGCTACATCATGTTCTCTGGTACTACAGGGAATTGGGAATCACTGGTGATTCAATTAGATGTGCACTTGATACTTTTATTTATATTGCCTGCCAAAACTAAAAATTAATGAAGCATGCAGGAAAACAACCACTGTTTCTTCTCAAGCTTATTTTATGGTGCAAATCAATTCAGGAGCTGGGGGAACACATGCCAAACCTTTTTAATAAAGGACCCTGGCTCCTGAAAAGGGTGCTCTGTGTTATTGTCAGCTCGATTTTTCTGACTGCCTTAGAGCGATTCTGGCTTGTCGCATACAGGCTGCACAGTGCCCTTGTATTTCAGTCGGGGTCAAGGCTGACAACAGAGGAAAGCTTTGCAGAAAAAATAGACCAAGTAACTTGGAGCTGGTTGCTGACAATTTCTGCAGGCCCTTTGGTAATGAGAAGGTATCATCCTTGGCCTTGCTGTGCTCCTTGCAAAAATGCACTCTTAGAGACACCATGAGAGCCTTCCCTATGTTAGAAGCAAAGCTCTTCATATGTCACAAGCCAGTCACAGTGGGCTCAGGTCAGTGTGTAAATGGATGCTAAAAAACTGTAAGAAGTGACTCTGGGAACTCAGTAGGTGTTCCATAACCCTTCTCCTAAGGTTATGCAATGAACCTACATGGCACTGTGTTGCTGGAAGTACCATCTAAAGAAAAGTTATGAAACAAGGCCCAGACCACTTCCATAAGGTTAGTAACATCATGCCACTCTTGAACATCTTGAAGTCCTACTCAAATTCAGAAGTACTTTTGTCTCTCTGAATTACCCTACAGATGGTTTTGAAGAAACACCTGCGTTTATTACCAGCTCTGATATCCCACTCAGTTTATCTGCAACCTTTCCAGCAATGTCTCTATTTTACCCCAGCAGCTGCTGGGATATGATATGATATGATATGATATGATATGATATGATATGATATGATATGATATGATATGATATGATATGATATGATATGATATGATATGATATGATATGATATTCAGAGGAGGGGTTACTGTAGGCAATGGAGTTTTTCTGTTTACTCAATTAATTTTAACTTTGTAGAGGCACTCAGTTTTCCAAGCACGTGACTGCATTAACACTAATTATAATGGAACCAAGGCATTCAAGAGCACCTACTGTCTTCCCAGGTGTCTTTGTTGTAGCCCAGGAGCACAAATCTCCCGAAGTCAACTGACAATGGTATTTAAAAGCTGTCAGTTGCAACTAGACATCAAGTAATTTCAGGAGCTTTTCCTCCAAAACAAAGCAGATTTGCATGCTCATTCATCTCTGTGGAGACGGGGCTTGAATTAGCTCAGATTTGCATTAGACGCATCTATACATGCTCCTCGTATAGGTTAGAGAACAGAAATAGCAAAGCTGCAGCCCGGGGAATGGCTGGGCTCTGTGACAGTGCATGATTTAGTCTCCTGTTTGCTTGCTTATTGTGTGCACAAAGGCAAGATGAATTGGATAAAGGATTAACTAGTAAAACAAACAGATAATTTAAAAAAGCCCCAAAACAAATGACCCTTTTAATGGGCCACTTGACGCAGATGTTTGCATCCAAGCTCAAGGTAACTTAATTTTTAATTAGAATATTTTGTACAAAAATAGACATTTGATCTTTTCATTTCCCAATCCCAATCACTTCTGGCAAGGTGAGCCAGAATGACCTGGATTGCCGAGTCAAGTGGCCTCAACTCATACACAGATGACGTGTAAGGAAAGGAAAATAAATGGTATCAAATAAGTATCAAAGTAAAATTTGTGGGAGACATCCTTTATATTTACAGCAGTGTTTATGTAGCCAGTGGCATCCATAAATTATAGCAGTCATTAAGCTGTACCAAGGCTGGCTTGGAGTCTTATAAATCATTATTTAAACACCAACATTAAACAAATGGCATTTCAGGCTCTAAATTGAAAGAAGAAACAAACAACTCCTCGGGGAACAAGTGCTGACTTTGTACCTCACAGGTCCTGCTTCTGAACACAGTCCAGCCTTGTCAGTGTTCAAATGCAATACCAGACCCTGGACACAAATGACAGCCTGGGCTCCTGACCGCCCATGCTTTTGGACTTCAGTTCTCATGTAGCAGATCAGCATGAAAGGGGAAAATCACGTGGCTTAGCAGGATAAGCAACTTACTGCTCAGACTGTGGGGCCAAAGGGGATGTATTTCACTCCTCAGAGGATCTTCTCCAACTTGGCTTACCTCTTTTTTCCTCTCCCCTTCTTTAATCAGCAGAGAAATTGAAGTGCGCTGGCAAGTTCTGGCACATCTGTCTCTGAGGAATGTGGCCAGAAAGACTATGATGTTTAATTACTGCGAAATAGGAACCTTCACCTTACCGCCACCACAGCTGGCCAAGTGGGAGGGAAGAATGAGATTCTTTCAGGCATTTCCAAAGATACCCCTTATCTTGCAAACTGGCTACACTGCTAATTATCATGCAGGATTAATCAAGCTGAACATAATTATACCTTCATGTGTTAGATTCAACTTCTTAGGCCATCATTTTTAATGCTACCAAAAGCTTTTGGGACCAACAGTCAGATAAAGCCTTCCCACTCAGCACACATTAAAACAAGAGAGCTTAATAGGACAGTACTTGGTTGTTGTTAAAAACCCCTGTCACTTCTGCTCTGCAAAAAAACATGAACGGAATTTGCAAAGACCGGGGATGAACGTGCACCCTCGAGCATGATTTACTGAAAAGCAGGAGCTCTCTGGGCCATCCCTGAGGAGCTCGGCTGGACACAGCTGAATTGACTCCAGCGGTTCTTGGGGCGAGACTCTGTATGCACCCACAGTGAAAAACATCAATTTTCAAATTAATGTATGTAAGAAATACCTACCTATGGAACTCCATCATGCTCATCTCCCTTATATGTGCTGCTCCTCAAAAAAAGTGAAACTTGCCTAGTATTTACTTGCACCTCTTAAATAATATTTTCTAATGGGCTAGTGCTGCAGTATGATGTTCCTCCACTAAATGCCACTAAAAATAATGGATTGTGGAGCCTCACTGACAATGCTTATCTGTCACAAGTATTTGTCCCTAACTTCTCAATTTCATCTGCTCCTCCTTTGGTTTGAGTTCAGGCCTCGACTCAGAGATATTTAAAAATAGAATACTTGGAGGGTTTAAAGGTTGTGTGAAACAAAGAAAAGTTGCTGTCTAGCTATAAAAGGATCATAAGAATTCTGAGGAGTTTCTGACTAGTGATTTTTCTATGACTCACCATTTCTGATGGGCACACCATTTGCTCACTCTTCACCTCCAACTCTCCAGCCTTACAACAGCGCAGACATTTGAAGGCTGATGGCTCACTTGGTGCTGAGGATAGCCATATTCCAGGACAAAGTAAATTTTCTATTGATACGAGTCATTAATACCTCTGCTTCCACCATTAAAGTAGTTCGAAGGTATGAAATAAATGAGGTAGAAAAGTGAAAGAAGAGAAAGACGAGTTCATGTTTAAGGGAACTGAAGCCATCCTTGGCAAATGGCCATTGAACTCCAACACAGTATAGGGCAGGTCACATAAATCAAAACTTTCACAGTAAGCTACACAGCCCTCATTTTCCAGCCAGCCACCCCAAGACACCTGTATTCAGATCTGCAGAGAAGCCAAGTGGTCGCAGAC